ACCCTCCGACAGTGCGGCGCTCCCTCAGCACTGACCCTCCCACAGTGTGGCACTCCCTCAGCACTGACCCTCCGACAGTGTGGCACTCCCTCAGCACTGACCCTCCGACAGTGCGGCGCTCCCTCAGCACTGACCCTCCCACAGTGTGGCACTCCCTCAGCACTGACCCTCCGACAGTGTGGCACTCCCTCAGCACTGACCCTCCCACAGTGTGGCACTCCCTCAGCTTTGGAGGAGGGTCACACCAGACTCGAAACATTAACCCTGTTTCTCTTTCCACAGATGCTGCCGGTCCTGCTGAGTTTTACCAGCATTCTCTGTGTTTGTTTGTCTTTTTCTTTGTTCCTTTTTGACAATTAATAAAACTCCCTTTCTGAACAAGATTTTAGCCATCTGCTCTGAGACCTCCATTCATTGCTCAGAGCCATATTGTGTTTCAAATCACTGCCCCGGGACTTACGTTAGGGCTGCCCTTTAAACGCAATCGGAAATGGTTTCATTTCCTTTGCTGAGTGAAAAGGTTGCTGTATTCCCCATAATCTTACCGAAATCATTGTTGCACAATTGTGCGAGAATGCTTCTCTCAGCTTCTTCCTCAGGTTTACAAGCATCACAGATTTTGGGTTCTGAAATATTAAAAAAGTGGCTGATTAATGCGGTTTCCATATTGCTGTTACACACACCTTCCGTGACCCCACTGTCAAGAATCTGCAAACGACACGTCAGACAGTCCTTACGTGCAGATCCAGAACTGGGAGGGTCACTCACTGCTGTCAGGAGTCAGTTTGATCCTGACCCCACAGGACATTGAAGAGTCAACAACTTGACACAAAATTGGACACAAATTGCAGCAGCCCTGCTCATTCGTCCAACACCACCTCCTGGAACCTCTTACTCCCTGGCGTATCATTTTTGTGAATCTTTCCTGCATACAGTCCAAAGCCTTCACATCGTTCTGAAAGTGTGGGGCATGGCCAGGAGCAGACAGAATATTCAGGGGAATCCGTGACGTCGTGGTCATGTCACTGAGCTAGATAATCCTGAGACCCAAGTTAATGTTCTGGGGAGGTGGTGTCCAATCCGATCACAGCATAGAATCCCCACAGGGTGGGAGCAGGCCATTCAGACCATTGGGTTCCCCCTATCCCTGTAACCCTGCATTTCCCATGACTTGCCCACAACATCCCTGCACACTATGAGACAATTTAGCTCGGTCAAATCCCCCCAACCTGGGCATCTTTGGACTGTGGGAGGAAACCCACACTAACATGGGGAGAACGTGCAAACTCCACACAGATAGTCACCCGAGGGTGGAATCGAACCCGGGTCCCTGGCTCTGAGGCAGCAGGGCTAACCGCTGAGCCACCGTGCCACCTCAGGCTCTTCAAAGGGTCAGTGTGGACTCAATGGGTGGAATGGCCTGCTTCCACACCATAGGGATTCTGTGGTTCTCATAGCAGCTGGTGAAATTAAGTTCATTTAGTGAAATCTGGGATTGAAAGCTAGTCTTCCTGATAGGGACAATGAAATGATCATTGATTGTTGTAAAAACCCATCTGGTAAACTCATGTCCTTCAGGGAAGGAAATGCTGATTTGTTTAGGCCTATATGTGACTCCACGCCACAGCAATGGATATGTAGTTGAAAGTGATTTAACTTAGAGGGCTGTAGAGGTAGGGCTGGAGAATGGCTTAAGCTGAGTAGCTCTTTCAGGAGCCAGCAGAGACATGAGGGGTCGAATGGCCTCCTTCTGTACGGTAAAATTCTATCATTCTATGACTGTTAACCACCCTCTGAAATGGCTGAGCAAGTCACTCAGTTCAAGGGGCAGTTAGGGATGGGCAACAAATGCTGGTCTTGCCAGTGATGCTATGAAAGAATGAACAAAACCCATAACTTTTTTTTATATAATTCATGCCCCATTTATAAAAGCCAAGATCACTTGTGTCAACTATTTTCAAGAGAAAATGGTTGGAAATATGGGGCTAGCAGCATCTGTGGAGAGAGAAACAGAGTTGACATCTCAGGTCAATGGTCCTGAGTGAATAGAGAAATGATGGGTGACACTCACCTTCATGCAGGCGTCTGTCCTCCTCGGAAGTAGCAGAGGGGATGCAAAGGTCATTGTCAACTGGGAAGCGGTTACAATCCAACATGTCAGGCCAAGGGAAGCCGAAAGCAGACATCACCGGGGTGCAGCTATCCCTGACTGCCTGGCACAGGGATTGGCAAGGCTGGATGGAGTCTTGCAGCTCATTAAGGCAGACAGGAGCAAAGAGGGAGCAGAGGAACCTCCTGGTGTCAGAGTGGCATTGCTTGTTGAGCAGAGGAACCCAGGAGCCAGCTTGCTGCAAGACCTCCTTCATGGTCCCATGACCAAGGAGGTTGGGCAGCCTCATCTCGCTGTAGCCTACCCCATGGCACAGCACCATGCTGCGGGGGATGGGCTTGCAATTGGTTCGCCCGGGCTCTGGGAATCCCAAGCCAAAGATGGACCCTTCAGCCTCGTCGGGATGGAGGGTCTGAACCGAACAAATGAGGAGGAGGAGGAACATCAGGATCTGCAGACCAGGCAGCAATGGCCTCTTCTCCAACCAATAGACAACTGGTGTGAGCATGGCTTGACTTCCTTCTTGACCAATCGAATTAGCTGGATGCCCCTGAAAAGATTAAGTGTGATACGTTTGTTGATTCAGTAAAGCCCTCTTCAGTTTGAAGGACAGATCAAAGCAATCAGGTTAAAGCCTTCAACTTTGGAAGACGCATTAACTGAGAAAAGAAAGGAAAGTGTGACTTTTTTTTTGGAAGGGATCAAGGAAAGACTCTGAGAACACTGGCTCTTTCATTTCAGAGCAGTTGTCCCACAATTGTCACCAGACTTTGAAGGCCTGTTCTCTCTCCTTAGTAGACCCTGCGAATGAGAACAGATTCTTTCACTGAGCAACCTCAGCTTTCCTACAATCCCTTCAGTCAGCAAGTTCCACGTTCCAGCCTCATTCTGCAAGGAAATCCGCACCTTCTGCCAAAAGGACTGAGAATCCCAACACCAGAGAACAAGCATTCCTCCGAGCTTAGGGAGCAATAGTTAAGATTCCTCTACACTGTCCCCCATCACACTCGCTCAGGACAGCGGCAGCACAGGTTTAGATACAGAGTAAAGCTCCCTCTACACTATCCCCATCAAACACTCCCAGGGACAGGGACGGCACAGGGTTAGATACAGATCAAAGTTCCCTCTACACTGTCCCCATCAAACACTCCCAGGACAGGGACAGCACAGGGTCAGATACAGATTAAAGCTCCTTCGACACTGTCACCATCAAACACTCCCAGGACAGGGATAGCACAGGGTTAGATACAGAATAAAGCTCCCTTTACACTGACCCCATCAAACACTCCCAGGACAGGGACAGCACGGGGTTAGATACAGAGTAAAGCTCCCTCTACACTGACCCCATCAAACACTCCCAGGACAGGGACAGCATGGGGTTAGATACAGAGTAAAGCTCTCTCTACACTGCCCCCATCAAACACTCCCAGGACAGGGACAGCACGGGGTTAGATACAGAGTAAAGCTACCTCTATACTGATCCCATCACACTATCCGGTCTCTCCAAACGACTGGAGTTACTATTTGACTGGTTCCCACTGTTGAATTTTTACTAATACCCCGCATCTATTAATACATTTGAGTTTCAATCTTTTCCAGTCAAGGTAAGAACACTGAGAGAGTGAGCCAGAGACGGTGATGGAGAGAGAAAGAGAATGTGACTAAGGGAAAAGACAGAGGGAGAGAGAGAGAGAGAGAGACAAAGAAGCCAAAAACTATAGGGAAAAATTCAGAAGGAGGGAGAGATGGCAAGGTTGAGGGAGGAAGAAACACGGAGAGAGTAGGTGAGAGGAGGGGTTTAGACAGAACAAAACACAACAATAAACACAGAGATTAGTAGGAAAATAGTGAGCGGAGAAAGTACAAAGCAGAATCATCAACGGAGTGTGGGATAGAAAGAGAACATGGGAGATAGAGTGAGGAAGATCAAGCACAAAGGAAGAGGCAGAGTGAGGGAAAAACCCACTGGAGGAATGGTGACAGACAAATGAAGGTGGAGAAAGAGGGAGCAGGAGAGAGGCAGAGAGCTCCAATAACGCATGGTGCAGGTCCTGATCTTGTACCTGTCTAAATCTTCGGTGTCCTGTTGACCATCGGAGACGGTCCTGTTCCCCGTTCAGCTTCCCCACAGTTTTCCAGCTCTGTACTGGGAGCTGCTGCCAGCTCAGGCTTTACAGCTCTTGGCAGCTGCTGACTCTCCCAACACTTTGTTGGAGCCTAGAGGTTCTGTGAAAGAGGGAGTTGCTTAGTGTGGAAGTGAAAATTACCAGGTAATAAATCTCCCCTCAGCTCTGCATCTGCCAGGCACCCATTGTCTTGCTTTGCTTGAGCTAGTTTAATAGTTTGTGCTATTGCCAGGCCTGGAGACAGGAGTGGGGAGGATGTGGGGGACTTGTAACTCAGTAAATATGATGTTTGAGAAATTGAGGGAAACCTGTGGAGGAGAGGACAGGGCTCTCAGTGAACTCTGAGTAAAGCAGATATTCTGGTTCTGTGCTGGGAATTAACAGGGACACTGATCCCTCTGTAACTTACTACAAAGTCTGATAGTTCTCTGCTTGATCTGCACTGTACCCTGTGCAGAAAGTAGCCTCATTGTCAGGGGAACCAGCCTGTCTTAAATTACAGGGAATTACTGATGAGGCTCTGGATCCACACTGTGCTCGAAGCTTTATTACGAAACTTCTGCTGGCTACTAACCAAGTTAGTTAGGAAAACAAATGTTTTTAGTTTTTCATGCTGAGGGGAATATATTAGGGGAAAATGCTAGAGTCTATTATAAAAGATTTAATAGCAGAACCCTTGGAAAACAGTGGCAGGATCAGATAGAGTCAGCATGGTTTTAACAGAGGGAATTCATGCTCGACAAATCAACTGGAATTTTTTGAAGATGTAACGAGTAGAGTTGATGAAGGGGAGCCAGTAGATGTGGTTTACTTCAAATTTCAGAAGGCTTTTGACAAAGTCCCACATGAGAGATTAGTATATCACCTTTAAAGTTGAACTTTTTCTCTATCCCCTCCTTCTACAGTGGGCATGTGTCTGTCACCAGGTTTGTAATCCTGGGACCTAAATTCACAACCCAGAGAATTTGAGTTCAAATTCCACAAGATTAGATTAAAAATTTTAATTCAGCTGAGACACATTAGGAACAAGTGCCCATGAAGCTACAGGGAGGCATTGGCCCAGTGGTATTATCGCTGTACTGTCAATCCAGGGACCCATGTAAAGTTCTGGGGACCTGGGTTCGAATCCTGCCATGGCAGATGGTGAAATTTGAATTCAATAAATATCTGGAATTGAAGAGTCTAATGATGACCATGAATCCATTGTCAATTGTCAGGAAAAACCCTTCTGGTTCACTAATGCCCTTTAGGGAAGGAAACTGCCATCCTTACCTGGTCTGGTCTACATGTAACTCCAGACCCACAGCAATGTGGTTGATTCTTAATTGTCCTCTAGGTAATAAATGCTGGCCTAGGCAGGAATGCCCTCATCCTGTGAATAAATAAAAACAAAATGGGATTGTCATTCACTGCTGTCTCCTTCACACAGTCCCACACCAGCATTACTGACTCTGAACAGTCAAGCAGCAAACATACTGTCTCAGGTGTATAAAATTCTCACCAGGTCAAACACCCTCCCCTCATGCAGGGTGACTGAGGATGGGAAATGAATCATAAAAAGATACAGCACAGAAGGAAGACATTCAGCCTATTAATGGGTTGGCCATTTTGAAATTCTATCTAATTAATCCCACTCCATATCCTCTGTCTGTGTATCCCCGCAACTCCTTCTCCTGCAGCTAGTCACCCCCTTTGAAAATTCCTCCTGAATCTGTTTCCATCTCCAGCATGTTCCAAACCATAGCAATCACCATGTGAATAAACACTGTCGCCACGTCTGCACCACAAATTACTTCCAATTTAGGTCTCCCTGCTTACCCACCTTCCTGCCATCAGATTCTCCTTATTTACTCGATTAAACTCATTTCTAATTTGGAACAGCTCTCCTCCTTAATGAAGCAAAGAGGGATTATCAATACAGACCAGTGTCTAACAAACAAGGACATCCCAAAGTCCCTACACTCACCTTTACTGGCTCCATCCCCGCCTCTTCAACCTGTCTGTTTCCTCTCCACCTATCCTCTCCTCTATCCCTCTTCTATCCGCCTCCCACTCTCTCCCTATTTATTTCAAAACCCCCTTCCCCTCCCCCTTTTCTGATGAAGGGTCTAGGCCCGAAACGTCAGCCTCTCTGCTCCTATGATGCTGCTTGGCCTGCTGTGTTCATCCAGCCCTGCACATTGTTGTCTCGGATTCTCCAGCATCTGCAGTTCCTACTATCTCTCATCCCAAAGTCTTCTATGGGCACATCAGTAGTGAAAGAGGATCAGAAGTCACACAACATCAGGTTATAGTTCAACAGCTTTACTTGAACTTGTTGAAATATAAGCTGGTGTCGTGGACTTCTGACCTTGTCCACCCCAGCCCAATACCAGCACCTCCACATCAATAGTAAAAGGAGGAGTAGGACTGATTAGGGACTGTCAGGTCTCACTGTGATAACAGGTTGGAAATCAAGTCTAGCTATTCCCGAAGTTGTCTCAAAAGTTAAAGATTTTAAAAGAAATGCATAAAATTTCCAAACTATCTGATGTTCAGACCCAAGCAGATAGACAGCACAGGTCAGGTTTCGGTACTTTTCAAGAATTATTACAGGTCATTGGATTCTAGCTACAGGCATACAATTAAACTACATCAAGGAAACTCGACCAAATAAAATTCTAAACCCCTTGTAAACTCCCCATCATGGCCGCATGCACATGCGTGGACACACACACACACACACACACACACACTTACACACATTCACACACACACACACACACACAAACACATTCTCACACATACAAACACATTCACACACATGCAAACACATTCACACACATGCAAACACATTCACGCACACACACACACACATACAAACACATTCTCTCACATACAAACACATTCACACACACAC